TGAGATTACATACATACATACAACCCAAGCGATGGACGGACGGAGAACGCCGTCTTCAAGCCTATAAGTCAACCCAAGCTTACCATCCGACACTGCAGCCGCTAGCTCAAGAGGGGAAATGTCAGGGGCAGTAAAATCTCCCGGAAAAACTCATTAATTCCATGGGAAATGCATTCCAACCAATGATGTGCAAAAGGACATCGAGACGTTTCAGGAATGTTCGCATCAGGAAAATACCGGTCCACACGACGCATGTACCTACCCATTGGCTATCGGGACAGCTGACTTATCTGCGCTGCTACGCGAACTTACAACAATGTCCGTTGATTTCACACTACTTGTACCTGTTTCGGTAGCTGGTTCTGCAACACGCATTTGCCTCCAAGTGTTAACTTCTGGTTTTCGGCAGAGACTCGGAGCAAGCAGAGAACGAGGGATCACAGTCAGATGTAGATCATAACAGCAGCACTTCGAATTCCTTGTCAACCGACAAGGGCATATGGAAGATGTTTCCGTTGGGGGCATCTGGGACGCTGGAAACAACTATGTTTGTCAAAGTGCCTTGCACCCTTTGTACCAAATAAAACTTACCAACCGTATTGTTCTCGTGTTGGGGAGTGCATACTTGGGACACTGAACAAAGGTGCGATTGAAGCGATGGTAGGTGTGTGAGAAAACACAGAAGTGCTTGATCGATACATGGGCCGCAGTTACACTAATCAACCACATAGATGGAGTGAAAACTCAGTGGCGTTCCATGGTGGTGAAAGCGATTGATGGTTACGATATACACATAAATGGTATGGCGGAACAGGTGGTTAATATCTGCGTTCGGAAGTACAGCCATCTACTTATCGCGTCACCAGAAGCAAAACAGACCATCCTGTGTGCAGACTTCCGCCAAGTCAGCGAAGCAATCGTGGACCTGAAACGAGGAAAGCTGATGACGAAATACAACGCTAGTAAAGAACGATCCACACAGGTATACATGGTCATGGCAGTTCTACACATAAGTCTAGCCTTGTAATCGCTATTAGGAAGGTACAACATTCTGTTCTATTCGCAAAACCCTTAAGGGTTTTGTGACTGGCTCGAACACACAATTCCGCTATCGCGTCAGCCATATCGGCCGCATGGACCCAGAAAAATATCAATACACCTGGTGACTGAGGTAGGAAAGCACGTGCAGGTGCAGTTGAAGAGGCTCACAGCTGGGGAGTTATAACTCCCCAGTTGTTTTGGTGAAGAAGGCTTACGAGAAGTGCCGCTGAACGAGATCCATTTAAGTCATTTCGTCCCAGTGTCAACAATGGCAGATATTTTCGACAGACTGCAGAAATCAAGGATATTCATGCTACCGGGCCTGAGATCTGATTACTGACGGCTGGCGATCAAACAAGAGGACCGGGAGAATATGGTGTTTACTGTGTGCAATAATCAGTCCCAGTTTAAAAGGATGCCTTTCGGATTTATTTGGTGCTGTATTTACTTTCCGGCGCTTAATGCTGCGCCTGCCGAATGGGTTAGAGAATATGGCCGTGTATGGAGACGACCACCGTCATCTGGAAGCAACGTTGTTAAATATTCAGTTGTCAGGATTTCGGATAAATTGACCTAAATCTCAAATCGGGAAAACATCTGTGACACTGCTTGCTCACAAGATGGGTCCGACTGAACTCATGCCGCTGCCGGAGGAAGTATTGTCAATTAGAGGCGTCTATGTTCCGATCTCAAAACGCAGTCTGCAGGCATCTTTGAACCGCACCGGATGTTACAGTAAATTCGTCACGAATTTGTACAGCTTGTTATCATTTTTGTACAAGTTTTTAAGAAATGGAAGTCATTCACCTGGACGAAAGAAACTCAGAGAGCGTTTGAAGACATTCAGAAAGAGATGGGAGACGTGAACTGACGTGGAAACTGCCGATCTCCGGTGCAACGTTCATGTTTGCCGCAGACGCAAGCGACCTCGGAATCGGTGCTGTGCTGAAGCAGAAGCATTGGACGATCGAACGCCCTAGCAAAATTTTGACATCATCTGAACACAACTACTCAACGCAGAGGCAAGTTGACGAGATGGGTGCTGCGGCTACAAGAATACGACTTCACGATAAACCATATAACAGGGAAAAGCAACAGAACGGCAGCTTTTATCGCGCATGATAAACGAGGGTGATTTACCTAGCCTGGCCTTCGGTGTCAATGGTTTAGTGCTGGAGTAAGATCCGATGAAGTTGCCGGCTGAGCAAAGGAAAGACAGCCTCCTGAACAGGATGACAACAACGCGAACAATATATCAAACTGCTTCAAACAAACCCCAAAGCCCGCAGTTCGGGCCTTTATGCGCCGAGTTTGGAAAAGCTACACGTCAACGAAGAGGGACAAACCAGGGCCACAAGGGCGACACTCTACCTCAGTGCGGGTGATCCCCCCGAAATTTAGGAAAATATCGGTGATCTCTTGTCACGTGATGGCTCACACCGGGTGTACCAGAACATATGGTTTTCTCACACGGTTTACTGGGCTGGCTTACAAAAGATGTCGAGTCATAAATGCTTGAGAGCACGTATCAGCAGTGTCAGCTCTTAAAACGAGACAATCAAACTACTCCACAACCTATGCTTTGGATTCCATCGTCCGAGATTGGTGAGTTGTGGTCAATCGACATGATGGGACTGTTCCCGTTAACAAGTCGAGGCAATCAGTATATAGTCATGATGACCGAGCACTTCACCCGATGATTGGAGTCGCAGCAATTCCGGATCAACGGGCTGGCACGATAACACATGCCGTGCTGAAGCACGTGATAGCGAGCTACGGGGTTCCGTAGACCATATTGACAGACCAGAGCCCATGCTTCGAAAGCGACGAATTCCAGACATGTTTGAATAAACTTGGCATCAAGAAGATACGAACCACTCCCTGTCATCCTCAAGCAAACGGGTTAACGGAGAAGCATAATAGAACAATTAGAGAATGACTGGCGGCGAAGCTTGGGAATTAACTTTACCACTAGTGTTACTAGGTTATCACGCGTCCAAGCACCGAGAGACCCCAATTCCAGTTAGTCTATGACCGCAGACCTCGACTTCCTGTGGATTTGGAGGTTGGAGTTTTGCCGATCTGCCAGTCGCCGCCGGGCGAAACACAGAACAACCGAAATGTGAGAACAACTCAGGAGCGGATGATAGGAAAATCCACAGTCAACTTGCGAAAACCATCCGCGGGTGAAGTACACGGATAACCAACGTGCGACCGCACATGGCCTCGGAATGAAGAAATTCCTGCCGAAGTGGAAAGTATCGTATGATGTAATCGGTCGAGGAGAGCCCGTATACACCATCCTTCGGCATAGAGATAGGCGGCGAGTTCAAGGCAGCGAATTGAAAAAATTGTACGAACGAGTGAAGGAAACTACGGTATACACGGAGCAGCCTCTGTGATCGGAGCAACTGCGTTGGAGGTCGACTACCGCGAAAACTCCTTAGGGGGAGGAGTGTTTAAAGATGTGGTGCAAGGAAATCAGAGAAATCGTGGATCGCCGCGGACGATGTACGCTTGGTACTCTAATCAGCCGGACGAAAAATGCGTAGTGGAGCAATCTACTTCCACCGATAAGTTATGAGGCGCAATAGAACGGCGATTTGGGAAGGTACCACGAGGGAAGTGCGCAAATTGGATCTGAAGCATCAGCAATAAGCCGCCACACTGTACTGACGCTTCGCTGCCCCATGACCACAACCGGTGGCGCGTGAGCTGAGTATACCGCGAGCACACCCGCCCCTACTCGAATTCGAACCAGTGACCTAAAGGTTGCAAGCCAGACGTGTAACCCTTTCGATCACTGGTCTGAGTTCCCATGTTCAAGCTGTTATAGTATCCGGAGGTTAGTTCTTCAGTAAAAAATTGCCCCGCTCCGCATCACCTCAACAGATATGCAGTACGGTATGGAACTGAGCTATACTTTACAAAAGTTAGGAGCTAGGACACGGCCTGGATCCTCACGCCAGATACCTCATCATCATCTCATCACCTCCGCATTTGACATGCTTCAAATACCATGTCGGTTGTGCTTCGGCTTGATCGAGATCCTCGTTGTCCCTCGGCTAAGTTGATACCAGCATGCAGGCTACAAAGCGTTTGAGAAAACTCCGAATGTTCACTTTTCAGATAGTGTTTCGCAAGCTAGGTTCCCTTGTTCGTGTTCAGTGGTCATACAAATCATACTTTCATTAGTGTATAGGTATTAGCTAGTAGAAATGTCTTTCCACGATTCCATCCGCGCTCTTTGTAATGACTTAGTAATATGTCCGTTTGAGTATTCTGTATACATCGCAGTCAGCCGACAACTCAGATAAATCAACTACCTCTCTGGAAAACACTAGACAGCCGTTTCGCCCTATTGGGGCTCGTCAGTAGTGCGCATTCTTCGATCCTCTAAGGAGAATCGAACCAATGACTGCCAATGATTTGTACCAACTAGACCGCAGCTTATGCCACTATTGAAGTGCTATTGAAGTCCTCTGGATTATGGCGACTCGGGAAACGAAAGCGCCTGAGCAGTGATCTTGTCTTTGTTCATCCGCTTCAATTGACAGATCAAAATGGTTCGCACTATCCCCTGATGCAGGCTGACGATTAGGACACGTTTACTCGATACTTAAATTTGTAACCCGTTTGAGATCTATCACAGCTTTCCTCCGGCTATTTCGACAGACGGATCTATCCCTCTTACCCTACAAACATTAGCACTAGTCTTGATAGGGTTTCAGGTCTGCTACTGCTGACTCAACGCGGTCACTCCGATTCACATCACGGAAAATGTTGCTTGCATTATGTTCCAGTGTAACCTACTGAGTCAAAAAAACAATGTTTAACTGTCTCACTCATTGACGTTCATTTGTTGTGACAAAATTTCAAGCTTGCAGTAACAACATTTAATGGAGTCGTTGCTTACGATTAGTCCCTGTAAACACTTCTCTTCCCACTTGATTACATAGGTCACGAGTACACTGAATTGCGGAACACCAACGCGGCTGTGCACGCATACAGGCAAGCAATTGCTCACAATAGACACGATTTTCGTGCTTGGTATGGTCTGGGACAGATGTACGAAATTCTGGACCTGCCTTCATTCGCTCTGTACTACTACAGGTGAGCGCTTCATCCACGGGCATGCCAGTATGTATGGCATGGGCGTACAGCCTCAGCTGCACTTTTTCGACACCAATCATTATTTCTACTCATGCCGCCTAGTCTTGCTGACTCCATGACTTTAAAGCGAACGGCTCACTTTGAACTTCAGATGCTTACTTGTCACTCTTCCTTACTCTATATACTGGCACTATTTGACTTTTTGGGTACTTTCTTGTGTTTGGCTCATCAACTGACTGGCTGAAGCATTACGCTACTCACCTTTGTTCATTCATGAATCCTTTACGCTGCGTTGTGCAGCGAATCTGATGTATGTTTCCAATAGGTGGTAAAACGGCCAGCTTGGGTTTTTACATCCTTTCAAGGAGCTACTTTTTGGCTCTTACTTTGAGTATGCTTCGTCTGCTGACCCCAAGCATCATGTTGAGAAGTTTCTATCGGGTTCAACCCATCGTCTGACGATAATCCATTTTCTACTCCCTTCACAGAGAAGCCCAGTACTTGGCCCCAACAGACTCCCGTTTGATCGTAGCCTTGGGAGAGATCTACGAACGCCTTAATCGATTAGACGAGGCCAAAAGGTGCTACTGGCGAGCACACTGTGTGGGTGACATTGAAGGGAGCGCTCTGGTTCGTCTGGCCCAATGCTTTATCCAATGTGGCGAAGCTGCAGAAGCTGCGGCTGCATACACGGTGTTTATCAAAATGTGTCACTTCAATGGAGTATGTTTTCGACCCGTTTGTTTATCCATTGTGCTCTCTTTCTTGTGGCCATGCTATTCGCGCTAATCATGTAGCTTGTAATCTTGCCACTAAATAATGAGGCTGCGTAAACTACTAATGGACTGACACAACGATCTGTATTCCGTTGCTAAGCGATTGATGGAATACCTGTCGTCGATGGCGGAGTGGGCTACACGCCTAGCTTGCAATCATAAAGTCACCCGTTCGAATCTGCGTAAGGGAAGGTCTCGTCGCGGTATACCCAGCCCACGCGCGACTGGTGGTGGTCGCGCGGCAGCGAAGCGCCGTTACGGCGTACTACTGATGTCTTTCTTTGTCAGCCTGTATCCTAAAAGTAACTAGCTCATTTTGTAGTATGACGGCGCGGGTTCGATTCTGTGTAGGGACAGGGCGACCCTCACAGTATTCTTAGCCCACGTGCGACCGGTGGTAGTTTCACTTCAGCGAAGCATCGGTACTGCGTACCGTCGTACTGCCGATGCCTTTCTTTTCTTCTTTCATGGAATACTTACCTGATGTCTCGTCCTTTGAGCTAAAGATCCCGTTCGCTAGCATCCATGGCTGACCTTTCCTGCAGCATATCTAGTTGCACGGTTGCCGCATTTTTTGATATAGTCACAGCCACAATTTTGACCGAGTCACCCAATGCAACGAGTCAAAATGTTTAGATGATGCAACAGTTTACATGCCTTTGTGAGTCCTTTATCTTCGCTCCGTGGCGATTTCCAACTGCCTCCACGCCCATTCATACTAGTGATTAAATACGCTGAATGTCAACATCCGGGACACCGATCGTTATCTCTTCTCTCTTATGTCGTTGGAGACAGCCTTTTCGGGCTTGAAACTCGGCTTGATTACCGCGGATCACAAGCACCACGGGTTATTTCTACTGGTGTGAGAGCACCACACTTGTTCATTGATTCACTATACTCCATCTCAAACCAACCACCCTCTGACCACTAAGTGGTAAATCCGTTGATAGTTGCCTGCAGCCACTCGTAGCCACAGATGTGCATTGAAAGGCATCAACAGTACGCCGGTACACATTGCCAACGCTTCGCTTCCGCGCAGCCACCACCGGTCGCAAGTGGGCTAAGGATACTGCGAGGTTCGCCCCGCCCCTACACAGGCTCGAACCCGCGCCGTCAGATTACAAGACAAACCCTTTACCTATACGCTGTAGGCCGACGATGTGCCTTCAGCTTTACATTATCCTAGCTATTACAGAACCAAGTATGGCCGACCTCAAGCAGGCTGACTCGAGACTGCAGTCACCGTTTCTGTCAAGCTCAGTTTCTTGCTGCATTGAAGGGTGGTGGTCGATTTGCCAAATCAAAGATCTGAGGCGGTAGTCTTCAAAAAATGCCTCATTCTCTGGGATAGTGGTAGTGTATCATCTGCCACCAACCCTCTTTCTTGTTTCTCCACTGTCACATGTTTGTTCTTCTCAAGGTATCTTGAAATTGATTGCCCATGACATTTTACGAATCTCTTCACTCGTTCTTCAATCCAGTTCACGCTGGCTACTAGACCGGTGCACATGCAACTGGTGTCCTGACTCTGCAGTTTCCCGGAGCTTGTGTGTGCCTGGCTTCCCAGCAACAATGTTTTAACACATCTTCTGCTATCCTATTGTTATAATGATGACCATAATTTCTGTTAACATTGCGGCTGCGGCCAGATGCTGAGGACTTTCCATTGGGGCGTATCTGAGTGGCTCTACAAACGCGTTTTGACTTGGTCGATCCATCAGAATCAGCAAGTATTGTATGAAAGCACACCTTCATCTCCTTATTTCGATGCTTGTCTCCGCTGACCACTTCTCGGTCTTCAATGACAAATTTTGTTAACAGCCCTCATTTTTTACTTGTGTAACAAGGGATCTGAACATTTCGATCGTTTTTGTTAATCCGAATATTCACACATACCATTTTTCAGAAACCGAATAGCTTCCGGGAATCCGTTTTGCGGAGCAATGATCATCGGTCGGTTACCGTCGAACGGTTTCATCAACTGTGTCGCCTGTATTTAGGGCACCACATTTCAGGGTAGACGTTCCTGCCGTAGCATTTGGCTCCTACCAAGCGATCTATTGCTCTTCACCCAAGTCGGTCTTATCGCCATCCTCTGCATATGACCAATGTCAGCGCAATCTTACCGGCCACTGTGGGTTACCCACTTAGATTCTAACCAGGCTTTGATTTGCATTAGTATAATGCCCATTTTTCCGGTCCTGACGGGGCTCCAGACTTAACTGTGAATCATTCGTCACTATTTAGCACTTGTTGGAACGTCGGTTTACTCTGCCGAACAATGAAGGGGCGATCGCTACCGATTAAGGCCGTTTCCGATGGATAATGAAGACAACTGGAAGGCCGTTTGTACGTTTAATTTGAGACGTTCGGCTGATAGATTGATTTCTTGGTTTCACCAAGTATTCAGTTTCAGAGTGTCCGAGGCACTTTGGAGCGGTTTTCTGCCACCTGTCACCGCATTGTTCGGGTGTGTTGATGTTTGGAGCGGGCCCGATGGGTAAAAACGGTTGATGCTATTTAGTACTGTTGAAGCTACTCTGAATCCTAAATGTAAGGAAGCTCTTCTGCTAATGAAGCAACATCTACATTTACTTGGTCGGCCCACTTTCAATCCCTTTGACCTATACGCTATGCTCGGTCTTTTTGCAATTCTTTCACGCTACCTTCACACTCCCATTGTTCACCAAGTCATTGAAGTCTAGCTTAACTATGGGCGTCGCGCTCCCCATCCTTAATGGGGTCCAATGCGAACTAATGCTTTTGAAACAACACACCGTGCCTGGACCCGCTGATTTTACTTCACTGTTTTGCTCGACGGGGACGATTAATTGATGGTTAATTTGGCCGCTCAGTCTAAGTCTACGGATTGCACTAGGGAACTTTACTTAGAACGCGAATGCTCGCAGTCGCCACAGGACGTTAAACTAAATGCTTTAGTCCCCATTTCTGCTATTCCTAAACTTCTTACACCGCCTCACCATCCGCGTTTCATGCCAAAGTCGAAAATGCGGATGTCACGTGACGCCACCCTTCCTACATCATGAGCTACACTTAGATGCAGTCACCACATAGAAAATCAGTTAAATCGGCAACGGACACAAATGACGAATGTATATTGCCTTGACAATGCGGAGGAGCTGCTTGCGTAAGCCTTGTGTGAAGCGTTTAGGTACTAAGTATATAACTGAAGTCACCCGCGGAGGTTGTGTGGTCAAAATTAAGGTGTAACATAATAGAGCTGTTTCGAAGATCTCATCTCGCCTTTGTAGAACCAGGCCAGGATGTGCTCGCGACTCCTCTGAAGTATGCACCTCATTGTGCGACCCACGTATCATGCACCACAGGAGCACGATAAGCGAGCATTGAGTGGGTCAACGGGGGCAGTCCATCCTTCGAGGATTTTATAAGCAACGGCTTGTTGTAATAAACAATCCTCAGTCGAGTCATGAAATAAGCCTTCTCAACAGCATTTTTCTAGCGTTAATATAGGGTATCAGCAGCAAAATCGCGTTAAATGGCAAGTGTATGAACAGCCCATTTTGGGAGCAATGCTCTTAGGTGGTTTGCCTTTATGTTCCTACAGATGCTTTTCGATAAATTTGTCCAAATAGCCATTTTCTCTCAGGGCGTCGCTGGTTCGCTGCAATTCTCCGTTGACGATATCTGCCGTGCAAATACTGCGCGCCCTAAAGGCTATAGGTGGAACCAAACTCCTCTTGTACTCTAATGGCACTGCGCTGTAGAAGTTCGTGTATTGCCCAGTCCATGTATACTTTCAGTGCACCTTTCTGCTGATGCGTCCCTCAGAATTACGGATAATATCGACATCCAGAAAAGGTAGTCGGTTTCCAAATTCTTTCCCGCAAGTAAAGTGGAGATTCGCATGAGCCTCATTAAAAGCTTTCAGTAACTGCGCCACATGTTTTCCGACTTGCAAAGTACGAAAGTGTCATCAGCATAACGTACACGCATTTCGGTCTCGCTAATGTGCGTTCTGAGCGGGTCATGTTCCAATTCCAGCATAAAGATATCGGCCAGCATGGGCTCCAAAGGAGATCCCAAGGCCACACCATCAATCTGACAGTACACTTCACCATTGAAGGTAAACTGAACGTTTAGCTTGCACCGAAGTACTACCTCTCTTAGCCAAGTGTCCGGAAAAGTCACGTCAATTGACAGCTGCCGAGCCAGATCGCACACGTACTTCACAGTTTCGAGCAGCAGTGATTCCCTCACCTTTGGTCTCATCCTTCTTGCTGTTGACCTCTCCGTCCAACTAATCACCTTCCCTCCATTACCTTGGTCAGCTTTACGTCTGTAGTTCAAGGTAGATTCGATACGGCTATACTCAACCAGACTTTTGCCACAACTCCAGAAAATAGGACAACCAGCAGCGCGCGTTCCCTCTGTTTATTGAGGGGCAATAACCTACGACCCTTCTTTTTTGAGGTGTTGCTCAAGACCACTAGATCGCAGATTTTTGTGGCATCTGTCTCACTCCACCAAACAGCAAAGAGTGACACCCATCACTTGTTTCATTCATGCTTTCGCTGTACGGAGACTACAGGGATGATCCTCAGCGGTATCACTTCCCCGGCTAAGTCGCCAGTTGCACTGTGGTCTAATTCAGGCATCCAGTAGTTTCGTGATTTATATACTTTATGTAATTCATGTTTTTCTCCTGCATCACCCGCCGTGTTTTTTTATTACCTGGCGCAATTCACTACACCGCTGCATCTTTGTATTGTGACTATATTTGGTGAACTGAGCGGAGCCATACCGATCCAACCTTCGTTTGCATCGCTAAACATTTCGCTGACACTCGTTGAGCTCTGTCGCTTGTCTGTTACCGAGCTGTGCTCACAACTTTTCTTTATTATCTTCTTTTTATCTCAGGTACAAAGTCAAAGTGATTTGGCCCAGGCCTACAAATATCTAGCAACTTATCACTTGCAAATGGGCCATTACGAAGATTCGGCGGCTGCGGCGTGCAAATGTTCTGAGTTTCCTGAAACCCGCGAAGAGGCCAAGGCCATGTTCCGCCAAATCACGGCATTTGCGGGTGACGTGGAGTTGATCACGACTGATCAAAGTAGTGACGACCCTCCCTCCTGTGATAATGCAACTGACGAACTCGCGGCAGAGGATGTTGGCGCCATCGGTACAGATCTGGCCACTAACCGTGTAGATGACCACAACACCACTTGCCTCGAGGAGGTTGCGCGAATACGCTCATCAAATAGTATGTGTTCTTAATTTTGTACTATTGCTAATTTCTATCCTCACTCACAGCAGAATCCTCCATCGCCTTTAAGTGGGTGCTACTCGGTCGCATAGGCTGTGCGCACGAATTTCTGTACATGGTAGATAATGGAAATCTATTTTAATTTGAGAACGGCTTTTCGAAACCCCGAAGCCCGCATTTGTCCGCCCATCAAGCACATTTGCTCGCTACTAAATGGTAACCGTGGCCTTTTGCTGTGCTTGCGGCCTTGGAATTTGTCTTAAATGCTTTACTCCAATCCTAACAGTACGGTAAAAAGGTGTATCGTTTCGTTGTGCGCAGTAAGTCTTACTTTTATTCCGTGCACTTGCGTCCCTGAAAACTATGCTACTGCACATGCAGCCTCTGATTCCACAACCTTTTATTCTTTTAAATAAACGGTATGGTCTGATCAGTATATGCAGCGGGATGGCATAGAAGAGATAACTGTTCGAGTGCTTCAAAGCGTTTGGCTAGTACATTTTTGTAGTGATTGATAAGTTGAATGTATGTCAGAAAGATTGTGAAGCTGACAATTATAATGAACACGGATATAACCAAACGTTCAAATGAAGTAATACGACCATCCACAGAACCGTCACCAGGTAACCTGCTTCCATGTAAGGCATTCCCTTGAATGATTTCACCCGCGCTTCCATGCCCCATCGGCCGTGTGCGTCACCACTTTCGCTCATCTTTAGGGCTGCTATCATATAGATACATTATAGGCGATCAGGCCATCTATCATTCGGCTCTTTCGACCGTGGCACTTTCTTATACACCAGTAAGTCAATGGCTGTACGTTTTGCATGAGTGTAATTATTTTCTTAGAAGCTTTAATCCATTATCTCAGGGGATCAGCTTAGCCGTGGACAACAGTGCAATAAGGAGGAATATAAATATGAGAAATTAAGATTAATACTACTGCTAAACTAATAGACCATTTATTCCTCCATAAGACGAGACACAGTTCAGCACACGTGGATCGATCCTAGTGTGTAGAAATGTTTCACAGTAGTTTCGCCCGATTACGACTCGTCGAGCAGACATATTTTAACATCCATTGGCGTTTCTTTGAGCCAGCTTCGCCAAAATACACTAATTGCTACATCCAAGTTTCAGGCCAGATCGTAGTTCGTCTGGCGAACAGTATGGATAATGTTACATGCCAAAGGGAAGAAACGAATAACTCCTAATTGAACCGCATATGAGATATGGTAAAGGCAGTACCGATAAAAGACGCCATCATCATAATCATCAATACACGAGGGTGAGAAATACATCTCTGCTAATGTGCCACAATACAAACATGATAAAAGATTCAACAATACAGACTAAAAGGCTATAAAAAGTAACATTATGCATAGGGTCTGAGATCATTGTTGGAGCAGGAGGCTAAAGAGGAGGTGGGACAAAGGGACTCACAACACAATTGCCACTCAGGTCGACTCTTCGCCATATCAGCTAGTGCATCCAACCAAACGTGATCATCATCCTTCCGTCTCCAGCCCGGCAGTCGGGATATACCAACCGACACCAGCTTCTAAGTGAGAGACTTCATTCCTCTTGACCAAGTCATCGCTTGGCGTCCCCTCTTCTCCTTCCATCCAGACTCCGGGCACGCAAACAACGCACCTCACGGAACCGATGGGCTAGCATGCGCAAGACGTGACCTACCCATAGGAGCCTGGTGCGTGATATACTGGTGCTCGCTCTTCCTGCATCAAATACGCGGCGCCGAAGACGCTTTGCTCATTCGGTGTGCCCACCATACATACTAAGAAGGCGGCGATGCTCGAACGTAACAAGCCTCTTTAAGTCTGTTGACTTGATGTGTCTGGTTTAACAACCGTACAGGAAGTTTGAACGGACGGCTGCATTATAAACTCTGCCTTTCAAAGCGGGACTAATGTCACACTGGCGCCACAAGTGACGGAGGTTTGCAAAAGCGTATCGAGCTTTTGCTATGCGTTTCATGATCTTGTTTTCGCTCCCTAGGGTACTAATATAGCGCCCCAGCAACTAAAATTTATGTACGACTTCTAGCTGGTCACCACCGAAGTTCAGCGCAGGTGTGGGTTCCCTGTCAATCTTGGAGAAGGCTTTTGAATTTCGAGGGTGCAACACACAGTCCGAAACAACTGACGTACATAGGCTGCGCTTTAATAGAAATATACGTAAACAATCCCCACTTCGGTGTAAATGAAGTGGAGCTTATACAGCTGCTAATTAACCATTGTTGGCATCGGTGCGTGGTAAGGCGGATGCCTGATGATGAGGGTCAAACTATTGGAAAGAATGTAGACTATGGCCGGGATGTCCACCCTGAACGTTTGACAGTGTTTGCAGTAGCCAACGGTGGGTATTGCAGCCGTCTACTACGGTAGTATAATAGCAAGTGGCAATGTGAGTTGAAATGATGGGGACAACGGCTGTAGTGTCCGACCTTCCAGTGAGCTAGTGTTCACATCAGCCAATGGTAATGGTTGGAGGCAAATGTTAATGGGTTGTCCCGTAGGTTCTGTACTCGCTAATTCCTTCATGTTGATTATAGAAAGAGAGGTATCTTCGGAAATTAGCCAGTCGTACTATAAGCGCTATGTGAGTGACATGTTCGGTCTCTTGTTCGTTGGAGCAGCAGATTGTGCAATTGGTGGAGCTGCTTAACGGCGCACATGCCACCTAAGGGGACACCTATGAGGTGAAACAGAAAGACTGTCTACTATTATTGGACATTCTTGTCACACGCATGGATGATTGACTCATCCAGAGATCTGGTTACAGTAAAGTAACGGTCCGGCCAATGTCTATACTCCACCAGCCTCTCACCAGTGCAATACAAGCGGACACAGAACAATAGCTAGTCTGACCGACTAGCTAGAGTTAATTGCAACTACACTCGTGATGTATGGTTATCCTCGCAGATTTATAGAAAAACAGCCAACAGTAAGGTCTGAAGGACTTGTTGCGTACGGTAGCCAACAACAAATCAATATTTAATTACCTTTCACTGGTGATCTTGCCGTGCTGAAGACCATTAAATGTTTAATCTGTGCTACGCAGAAAAGTCATAGCGCTGCTTAACTTGCAGCCATTAATCAAGCTCGTAATTTGCCGGTGCCTTTAGTAAGTAAAGAAAGCTCAGTCGATCTGGGCCAACTCACCTTGTATATACCAATTCGTGTGTGACTACAGAGCCATTTACATAGGCGGAACCCATAGGTATTTGACTTCTCGCATAAGTGAACACGTGCCAGAACGGGTTCAACCTGTAATTAACCAGCACCCTGTTCCCCTGAACCTCCGTACTAGCGCAGACCGCCAGCTTCCTCAATAGGTAATCATGTACTGGTGACGCGTCACCGGATCAGCGTCCACAATTACGCTGTGTCACCCTGATACCCGCTTCCGTTATTTCGCCGAAGCTATCATTCATCATCATCATGACTGGGTCGATCTCCTGAGGTGACGGATTTTAAGCTCCCAACGCTAACAATTATAGCCATGCAAGGCGCTTTGCTATTGGTTCCCTGGCGATAAACTCGTGCTTTACTCAAAAATTCAGCTGTTGGTACGGTCTAGGTGACTTGACCGTCCACACTATAAGCACAAAAACAGCCCTAAAGATGAGTTACATAAATGATGGCTTACGTGCTTTAAAAGCCACACCGGCACATGGCCAGGTGGGGTTTGGAAGTGCGAGTGGAACCCATCGAGAGATTAACGCGCACGGAAGCAGGTCCCCAGAAGGCGGTCCCAGTAATGGCCGTATTACTTCACTTATGCCTTTTATTTATCTACACTTGTTATCTTTCAAAACCTCACAATCCTCCCGAAATATTTAACTGACCAATTAGCCATATCCGCCAAAAAGCTTAAGGACTGCTTTGGAAATTCGCAAAATATAACTTCTGCTCCTTACGATTTTGCCATACACCAATACTCATAATATCCAGTTGGAACGTACCGACGAGAGATATACCTATGTTTTTCATTCATCACAAATTTATATTGCCCATGCAAGAGCATGGTACAATTTGTACATATTTGATTTGTGCCAAATATGGTCGCAGCTTCTCATTTAAAGAGAAATATACACATTATCATTATGCACGTTATCTAGAAGTGGGAAACATCTAAACTACTTTGCCGCATTGACTACCGCAATAAGCCGGATGAAACCAACTCTGCGTTCAAAAGCGATTCTTCGTCACCTTAAGGTCACCTTGGACATAGAGGTTGAACTTCCGTCATTCACTTTGCACTACCATGTTGTTTGGTTGCACCCAAGGTATATAGTCTTCTTAAAACACTTTTCGACTTTTTAAACTGCATTCCTTTTTTGAAATCACCATCCCTTCTCGGAGGCCTTTCTACTCAATGTCCTTCTCGTGACCTGGCAGCCGACCTATCGATTGTCCCAGCCTTCTACTTTGCATGACGCTCTATTCTACCTTCATGATTTTCCCAATGGCTCGAAGCAATCTATCACGGATGTTTTGAACCCGACGACTGGGACTAGGCTGCAGAGCGAATCCCTCGTTTGTGATAACATAAGCTGCTGTTTTAACGTTCTGGTGGCTCGTTATCTTAACATCAGACTCCATGACCACCTTTATAGGCGTTTGTTCTCTCTATCTATCTCCCAAATTTTCGGAAGTGGTAAATACTCTCTCGTTTCAGAACCACCCCAGTTACAGTCGCATGTTTCAGTCCAATCACTCCGTGTGCAGTTCAACTTTACGCTTGCCACACGTCATTGCATTTTTACCTAATGATGCAAGTGTTGTTTTTCATTTCCCCGTGCCAAGATGCTTATGAATTTACAGACGTTTTTAGGGCCAACTCCACGTACACCTGTGTGAAATTTAGTAACGATTGAAGCAACTACACAAGGGAATTTTCTTGATGGGATGGAAACGGCCCCCTAATTCATTTTTCCAAGGACGCTGCCTCGATTAAACCTTAGGCATCGATAT